GGACTTTTCTGCCTGGGCTGGTTTTGAACCGTGATCCTCAGATCTCAGCCTCCTCAGTAGCTAGGATTACAGGAGTGAGCCACCATGCCTGGCTCGGTTCGTTATTAATGTGCTAATTCTGGGGACTGAACTCAGGGCCTCACATTGGTGCTTAGCTTTTCTGTTCAAAGCTAGCACTCAGCTGTGTGCTGGTGGCTCACGCCTGTGACCCTGGCTACTTGGAAGGCTGAGATCTGAGGATCTTGGTTCAAAGCCCAAAGCCAACCCAGGCAGAAAAGTCCATGAGATTCTTATCTCCAATAAACTACTCAGGTGCGGGCGCCAGTGGCTCACACCTGTCATCCCAGCTATTCAGGAGGCTGGAGATCTGAGGATTGTGGTTCAAAGCAAGCCTGGACAGGAAAATCCGTGAGACTCTTTTGCCAATTAATCACCATAAAACCAGAAGTGGTGCTGTGGCTCAAATGGTAGAGTACTCACCTTGAGCTGCAGAGCTGAGGAACAGTGCCCAGGCCCAGAGTTCAAGTCCCATGACTGACAAAAAATAAACTACTCAGAAAAAGCTGAAAGTGGCACTGTGGCTCAAGTGGTAGAGCTCACCTTGACATAAGGAGGCTTATGGACAGCACCTAGGCCCAGAGTTCAAGCCCCAGGACTAGGAAAAACAAACAAAAAACCCACTGGCACACTATTGCCTGAGCTATAATTCCACTTCTGTACTTGTTAATTAAGTTTCATGAACTTTTCTGCCTGGGCTGGTTTTAAGCCATGATCCTTAGAATGTAGCCTTCTGAGTAGCTAGGGCTAACAAGCGTGAGCCAGCTCCCTGCTTGCATGTGTTAAGTTCCGTGGCGATCCACGACAGATGCTAAGCAACCTGACTCTCATAGCACACCAGCTTGGCCAGAGCCACGTCTGTGATACAGGCCTGGCCTTCTGCTACCCTGATAGAGCAGTTGTCTACATGGAGGCATTTGTGTTTAACCACCTTGGCACTGGCAGCCGGCAGTCCGGGGTCACGCTGAGCCTCGCCGCAGCTGTTGTGCCCTGCGCACCCGGGCTGTTCTCAGGCTGGTGTCAGTGCCTGGATCACCTGTGAACCTTTCTCTTTCAAACTTTCGTTTTATGCCCTGAGGCCAAGCTGCTTTTTAACCATCCCAAGCGGCGCACCTCGAATCCCTTGCTCTTTCCTTTTCAGTGGACAAAACCCAGGGCCGTATTTAGGCATTTAATCACGAAAACACCTGCTACACTAAAAATAGCTCAAGTCATCTTTTAGTTTAGGCCCTTGATTGTCGTTTGTATACGTTGGGAGATAGTGTAGCAGACCTGGGGCAAGCGCCCCCGGGAGCGGGGTCCGGCTAGCAACAGTTATCAGCAGCTGCTGTCCGTGAGCCCATCCAGGGGCCCCTCCGGGCTGACTGTCTGCCCGGGGCGGAGGGTGGGGTCGGAGCACCGAGCCTCCAAGGCCAGGCCGGGCTCCGAGCAGGAATGGCGACACGCGCGCTCGTGAACGACGGCTCCACGGCGTCCGTGACGGGCGTTCTTACCGCGGTCCGACAGCAGGACGTGACTAGTGAGTGGCTGTGTGTGCAGCGCCGAGGCTGAGCGGAGCCCGAGCCCGCACCGCGGCCCGCAGGGCCCGGCCCAACGCGGGTGTCGGGCACCGAGGGGTCTCCGTGTGCCGGTGCGGTTCGGGACCCGACGCCCGCCTGAAGTCACCCTGCG